ATAGATAGATAGATAGATAGATAGATAGATAGATAGATAGATAGATATAGATAGACCTTTATTGTCATTTATTTTACTGTGGGCACTATTGACTACTCTCAAAAGTGTACACATACATAACACACATATACACATACTACACACACACTCACTCACTCACACACACACACACACAGAGGCAACACTAAAATAAATCTACTTCTTTTACTAACTCCAGGATGTTATGACCCCAAACATTAGTAAATCGCTGAAAAAGAATAGCAGAATCTAGTTGATCTAAAAAAAAAAAGAAGTCAACATAACCCCTCTCCAAAAAAAAGTAAGGGCAGATCATTTTCTGTATTGTCAATAAAACAGTGAGTCATGTTGATGTAGTCACCAGTAGTTAAGCTCAACGTTTAACAGGATGTGTTACTTGGTAAGGCTAAGTGGAGTAAGCACTTGACTAAATTAGCTCACTTGCAAAAAGTTTAAAAGCGATGAAATAAGACAGATGAAATTCATAACCACAATATGACTTACCTTTTCCACTCTGAGTTGTGTGTTTAGATTACTGTTCTTATACCAAATAGATTTCAGAATGGAAGCAAAAGGAGTGACTCCTATTCCCGCTGCAATGCACACACTAATGGGATACTGGAAGACGTCAGTGACTGCACCTCCCAAGGGCCCATCCACAGCAAGTCTGCAATGACATCCCAACTAATACTTACAAAATAGTAATGTTCTTTGTGTTGGTATTAGACTACAGGTAGACTACAAATGGTTGATGTACAACTATTTGTTTAGTAACTGTTTGAAGTTATAGTGCTGAAAAAAAAGTGACTGTTGCAGCATCCCCATGGTCATGTGATCAAAATCCATACATTTAGCAACTAGCATGTATTTATGACGTTTGCAGTGTTCCGGGGTCATGTGATTACCTTTTGTGATCTTCTGACAAGTAAACTCAAGGGAGAAGCCATAGTCACCTAACAAAGTCACTAACTTGACCATGGCAGTGATTCACTTAACAAATTTGGCAAGAAAGGTAAAAAAAAATGGGGCAAAATGAATTTGGGCTTGAATTCAATTTTGGTGGTAAGTTGAGGACTACCTGTACAACCACTTTGGGTTTTTATGCTGTAGGTGCAGTGGAGTGTTGTTATATCTGCCATCTGAGATGGCTGTCCCCCTCTGTCTAATGTGAAGGCCAACTGATATGACAATGGCACTAGGATCCAGGATTAGAGAGGCACAATAGCTGTACCTGCACTCTGTCAATCTCTTCAAGATGTGTCTGAAAAGGAGTTAAAATTGTGCTCATATGCAGACATGTATTTGTGATCAAGAGAACATGTCTATAGCTTTTCTTCAGACCTCACATCTGAAAGCATGGAAGTAAGAGAAAAGAAATGCTGAAAAGAGAGCTCCAGTAAACACAATCCATTGTTTCTTCACTAAGCCACATTTTAATTATAAGCTATATTGCTCTTTCACAAGATATAGGTAGCCATTATTTAGCAGCCACCCATGGCACTAGCAACTCGGTTATTAAGCAAAGTGGCTGCTAAGTACAACTGTGACTATGCTTAAGATCTTACTACAGCTTTCCTATGCTTTACTGACCTGTGAAGGTCATAATTGCGAGGATTGGTCATAAAGTTACTTTTCCATCACTATTGTAATTGTAAACAATGTCTAAACAAGGCAGTCTTTAAATGAGACTTCCTGTATTTTGGAGACTGAATGCCTAATTCAGTGGATTAAAAATAATATCATTGATGTGACATGAATTAACCAGATTTGGACTTAATTCCTTTGGATCCTACCTGAAGCAAATCTGGGATTAAAAGGAAGATTCATCAATTACGACAATATTAGCTAACCTGTCTCTAGGAATTTAGTCAGACATCTCTACAACACTTCTAACCAAAGCTTAGAAAAGGGGATATGTGGGCTTGGATTTGGGGCTTTTTCAAGCAACAGGCACCCCTTTCATGCAAGCTAAAAGCAATTTTATGAAAACAGGCAAATGATACATTGCCGGATAATGCTGAGCCAGCATCCAAAGGAGATATATTTATCCAAATTCCACAAAATTCTTTTTTCTCCAAGTTCTCTCCAAACTGTGGGTACAAAGTTCATAACCGAAGAGAAACAGTGTCATGGCAAAATTAGAAATTCTATTGCCATAGAATAATAGGCAATGCAGAACCATATGGCTTTAATTTTGGGACATTGAATATTGGGATAGATATTATTTTCAGATAAAATCTCTCCCTCCCCATTCAACATAATAATGAACTTTGGGGTGAACCTTAGAGAATTTGTGATTTCTGGGACTGAAGGCTTTTTTTATTAACCAGACTTATTTCCTCTTTCTTTCAGAGTGTTGTGAAAGTGCCTGATTCAATAAGAAAATGAGGTAGAAGGGTCAGAAGAAGAAGTTTAGAGATTAATAAAATCTGATCCACAGGAAGACTCTGGGCATGCAGCCTTAAGCAAATTCTTAATGTTTCCCCTTGAAAATGTGATATTTCAGGATGCTTACTTTGGGCTGAATCAGATTCAGGTAAAATTATACATGAAATCTTTTTTAAGTACTGCCATTTCAATAATCTTCTATTATCTATTTTTCCTACTAGCAAGATAGTAGATTTGGCTACATTTGCAGTTAGCATATGAGCTTGGCTTCTTCAGATAATCAAAAATGAACAGCCAAACCAGTTACATCGCAAAGAATTTCCAGACCTTGGCAGTTTCCAGGGTTCCTTATATGTTTCTTCGTGGGCTCCAAAGGCCCTGAAAATGGCTTCCGTCCAGTTCCCAACTGCTCGTATGTGCACACTAAAGAAGTCGTCTTCAGGAGCTGAAGTGAGAGTGAAAGGATGCCACTCTAGCTGGGAGATTGCAGGGCACTGGAGGAAGATGTACTGCCCAGGCTCCATTTTAAAGCCACGCTTCTTCAGCTGAAGCTCTAAGACCCCAGAGGCGTGAGTCACCACCTAAGCAAAATGGCAACTGGCATATTTTAATTATTCTGTTCATTAGCAGGGATTACAGGAAAAGGCAGATAAAATGGCGAAGGGTCATAAGACTGGAAGGACAGTCATTAGGCTACTCCTTTTGATCTCCAGCCTTGTCTACCAAGAACATTTATTCATATTTTGTTTTGTACTTTGTAAACAATAATTATAACATGGGAAGCCCTAATGAATCAGATTACTGAGTGAAAGAAGTAGAAATTATTTGGTTGGTACAAAAGTATTCCTGCCCTTATCTTTATTTGATGGGGCCACCAGTTTGAATTCAGAATTCAGACAATTATTAGAGGGTAACAAATCCAGAATATTCTAAACATTTTCCACATCTTAGTTATTCTGTTCATTGGCAGGTGTAATAGTGGGCATTTGGAATTTTCCAGGCCAGATTTCATAAGCCAACTCTTTTATCATAGGAAAGCACTACTGCCAGAACCAGTGGATTTCATCTGGTACAGTGTTTCTCAATTTTGGTAACTTTAAGAAGTGTGGACTCACTGGGGAATTCTGGGAATTGAAGTCCACGCCTCTTTACCAAGCTACCAAGGTTGAGAAACACTGATCTAGTAGATTTCATCTAGGATTTCATTACAGGGAACATTTCAGAGGTGGTATTCAGCAGGTTCTGACCAGTTCTGGAGAACCAGTAGCAGAAATTTTGAGTAGTTCGGAGAACCGGCAAATACCACTTCTGACTGGAGATTTTACAGTATCCCTCCCCTGCCATGCCCACCAAGCCACGCCCACAGAACCGGTAGTAAAAATGTTTGAATCCCACCACTGGAAAATTTAGCTTAGCTATAATTCAAATGACATCTATCAATGGGCAGAATACTATTAATGATCTGCAACCATAATTGTAAAAACACAACAATTCATTTGAAATAAAATAAATATCATCGTCAATCTTATAACCTCCTTCATGAAGGAATATGACTGATTCCTATGCCTGCACACACGTATTCAATGTTTTGGAATATTCTTTGTGCTTATCAGCTGCTAGAGTTAACTTTATCAGTTATGAATACAAGTGAGTTGCATTTTGCAAAGTAACAGGACTTATTTGACTTGAAATGTGTAAATTTCTAGCTCCAGTG